GAATGCATCAGTTTTCTATGTCATATGGACTGATATTTAAAATAGATTACTTATGAGGCTGGAGGATGCTTCCACAGTTAGAGAACCTGTGCTAGTCTGTTCTTAGCAGCCACCTTAAGCTGCCTAGCTCCAGGGGATCCAATACTTTCTTCTGTCCTGTGCACACTTGTACTATGTGGCATGCTTATATATGAGTGGATGTACACATAAATAAAATTTAGAAAGAATGTAGTTTGTTTAAAATCTCCCAGATGGACCTGGATTTTCTGTAACTTGGGATTTGGATGTATTATGCAAATAAATTTAACCTGGATGCTTAGTGATTTTGATTAATTTTGACAAAGTGAGGACAATAGCGGTTTTTTTTTTTTTTTTTTTTTTTTTTTTTTTGCACAGAGCAGAAAACTGTCCACATCACATCAGTATGAAGTCACAGTCTGTTTATAATCTCACCCTGTTAATGCCATTTTTGTCTGTCTTCTGGTCATGGTCATGACATATGCATGCACAAACAGCACCTTGGGATTTCAGCCTCTCTAAGCGTGCATACCATGAAGCCAGAGCCACACTGTGACTTCCTCCAAAAAGTCAGCCAGCCGCCGTAGAAAGGGGTGAGACCACTGGGGAGTGAGGAGTACACAAAGCCCACTCACTGCTGGAACTGAGGAGGGAAGAAGGCTGGCCACACATGTCTGGTTTGTTCTGCTCTACCTCAGTTCAGCCAGTGACTATGGCAGAGAGTGTCTCACTGAACTGCCTTAGTGTTCTGCAGATTCTGCAGCCCTCCACCAGTGTCACTGACACTGAAGTAGATGTCCCCGGCAGGTTCTAGAACTACAAGGCTGGCTCATCTGCATGGGTAGGTGTGTATTCAAGTAAACCACTGGCAATGGCTTCCAAAGTGATGAATCCTATAGACCCTAATCTAAGCAGTACTCTCCTGAGGATTCAAAGGCTAATGTGAAAAACAAGATTTAGAAAGCAGCAAAAAGATTGACAGCTGACACTAAGCAGCAAAAGCAGACACATGTAGACCTCTCAGTGAGACACACTTGACCTCCAAAAATGACTACGTTTGCAGATTCAGCAGTTATTTGAATGCAGTTATTTGAATAGCAGTAATCATAGTAACAGATAACTTCACCAAGGACTCCTTGCAGAACTGTTGTGTTCTGCCCAAATCCATCCCCAGATCTTTATATGCTGGTGTGCTGTGGTCACACAGAACTGGTGGCCTTTGGGTTCTTCGCTGGCCCTCAGAGTCTTCATTCAACTATTCCTCCAGACAAATGGTGGGAGAATACATGGATGTGTGCGTACGTGCGTGCTTGCATGCATGCATGTATGTGAGTGGCAGAGATTTACCAGCAATCAAAACCATGTAAATTAAAATAACGAGAAGTTTATTTCGTTTATCTCATAAGAAAAAATAATTATATAAACAGAGCCATGGCAGTTCTGCAAGCCCATCTGTCCTCCACATACCCGGTGGGATTATAAACTGGAGTGGCTTATCTAGGATGGATTTGACAGCATGCCTCATGATCTACTCATTCCCGAGACTTACATCAAGTGCTTGTGGACAAAATGTTCCTCAAAGTGTATTAGAACAAAATCCATGTAGTGGTCAGCACTGATGTGGTGACTTGTATATTATGGAATACTGTCTATCCATCACAGTTGAAGTCTGGTGGGATTTTCCTTACAATGGAAGAATTAAACTGCAATGGCTATGGACTTGGTAGTGTAGACCTATAACCTCTGCACTTGGGAGAAAGAGGCATAAGGATCAGAAATTCAAGGCCAGCCTGTGCTAACTGAGACCTTGCATCAACAAATTAATAAACAATAGCAAAAACTCTAATGATGACTAAAACAGAATGCAGTGGCTAATGGACAAGGCTTTCTCCTTTCATTTCTCTGGTTAAAATTCTTTCCCAGATTTCTTATGAAGGCTTTAATTCAAGAAAGTTAACTAACCTTTCTGTGCCCTGGTCTCCTTACCTGCCCAAGGAGGAAGTACTGGTGGTGGTAAAGTTTAAATGAGATAACTGTTTGGCACACTTGGTCCTCTAGATTGCACAGCCTAACTATCTGATAAATGTCACTGTCAAGTGACTTCTGTGCCTCAGTTTCTTCCTTTGTAAAATAGGGATGGCAGCCACTCCTCCTTGAAGCTTTGGTGAGTGTGTGGGAACATTTGTGAGACAGCAGCCAAAGAAGCATCCCACCTTCCGCTAGTATCTCAAGCCTAGGGAAGATGCACACAGGTCAGATGCCTGGACAGCGAAGGCTGCCTGAAATCCCATGTCCTCACACAGCCTTGGGGACGATGACTAGTGATGTCCAAGTTTGATCCTTGTTCATGTTCTTTCAATATTCATTTCAACAACAGTCATTTAAATTACTTTGTTAATTTATGTTTTCAAAACTGTGCCTTTAGAGGGGAAACATTTTCTGTTGGGCTAATCAGAGCAGCTGAGTTCCCTGAGCATCTTACAGTGTCTTCTGGGCTGTGCCCAGCTCTGGTCATCTGTGGGGAGCATCTGAGTACTGTGCTCAGCAAAGATGTGCTGCCCAGTACTTTCTTGAGCTGCATTGGAACTGTGATGTAACCCCCTGGATGCAGGCTGGAGTCATTTGGGAAGATTTGAATTATAATGATGTTGGATTCCTCTATAGACCAATCAATTCCACACATCTGGAGAAGGGGCCTGGACATTGGTAGTTTGGGGTTTGGGAGCATTTTTAAATGTATTTTTATTATTTTATGTGTATGTGTGAGGACCTGAGTGTATGTATATGCACCATGTGCATGAAGGTGTCCATGAAGGCCAGAAGAGGGCACTGAATTCTCTGGAAGTGGAGTTACAGTGAGCTATATGCTACCATATGAATGCTGGGAACTGAACCTGGGTCCTACAAGAGCAGCAAATGTTCTGAACCACCAATCCATCTCTCTAGCCCGCATTGGTAGTTTTTGTAAAGGCTTCCAAGGAAACATATTATAGCAGTGAAAACTCCTCACTTGCTCACTTAGAAGTATTTTTCAAATTATCTGAGGATAAGAGTCTCCTGGAAAGGGTGAGGAGGTGGCTCAGTAGCTAAAGTACTTGACTTGCAAGCTTGAGAAATGGAGTTCTGATCTCTAGCACTCAAGAAAATGCCATGTGGCTGAGACAGGCTACCTGGAGCTAGCTGCATTTGCAAGCTCTGGGTTTGATTAAGAGACCCTGCCTCAATGAGTAAGGTATGGGACAGTAATAGAGGATGATTCCCAACATCAACCTTCATACCCCCATGGGCATGCACATACATATGCACCCCACGTGTTCATACACATGCACACCACACACACACACACACACACACACACACACACATACACATACACACACACACACCAGAAGAAGGAAAAACATGTCGATGTTCTAGTTAAACATATGGAAAGCTGGATCAGAGCAAGATCTACCAAATCTGAGCTTTACCAAGGAGATAATTGATAGTACACATGTAGACTTGTGTCATTTAAAGATGGACCATATTCTGAGAGGCACATCTTTATTTGCTTTTTGGCATTGTGAAAATCTAATAGGTAGTGGGGGTCATTGCCTGTTGATGAAGCCAAGGAGTCAGATGATAAAACAAAATGCTGAGGCTGCCCCCAGCACAATATAGACAAGTACACTTTCCTAAATAAATAAATAAATAAAGTTCATTCCATAATTGTACCTGCTATGCCTTTATGTGACTCAGGCAGTAGGCATGCTGACATCAGCATCACCATGAAAACATGAGTAATGGGTTGCACCATAGTACTGCCATAGCTATAATATCATTAGGTTGTAGGGTTTCCTACTCTATTATAATATTCAGGTCCACTATCACATATGTAGTCATTGGCTGAAGCATGGTTTGCAGTGGGGCATGACTATTTAACATACCTGTGTGGTGATTCTCACTATCAGAGAAATATGGGGACTGCCAGAGCTGTGGTTCTTGGAAGCACCAGGGGACCCTGCAAGTGTTCTGTTGCCTGGACACCCTCAAGGTCCCAGATTCTAACACATCTAAAATAGTCCTGGGTACTGGGATTTTAAAATCCCCTGGCTTCAAATGTAAAACCCCCAGCAAAGTAAGTTCCCAAGAGTTACAAGATCATCACCCTGTGGAAACGTAACCCATGTATAGTATGGTACCCTATACAGTTGCATTGAGCTTGACTGGGGATGGGACACTGGGACCTGGTGGTGTGCCTCATAGATCTCCCTCAATGGTTCTCACATAATGCAGCACTTCAAAAAGCAGACTCCTTCAGACTGCTCAGTTGTTCTGGGCCAAGCCTGGCCTGTGCTGCAGGTATCCAAGGACTGCTTGGGGAGAACACTGCTCCTCAGGGTGCTCCCTTAATCCAAGGCAGTGAGGTTTGTGTCTTCTCTAGTACAACCAGCATCCCTGGTGTTCTGTGAATGGCTTTGCTGCTGTCACTTGGCAGCAGTCTGTCTTCCAACCACACCCGGGGGGACTAGTTTTCTTTATAGTTGGCAAAGCCCTGTGACTGGGGATTGTCTTAGTCACTGTTCTATTGCTGTGAAGAGACACCATGACTCTCAAAGTTGCAGAGGTTTGGTCCATTGTCATTATGGCAAGGGAGCATACTGGCAAGCTGGCACTGTAGCCGTAATTGAGAGCTGCATCCTGATCCATAGGCAGAGAGAGGCTCTGAGCTACTCATGGGCTTTGAAACTGCAAAGCCCTCCCCCAGTGATTCACTTCCCCAACAAGGCCACACCTCTCAATCCTTTCAATCATTTTACATAGTCCCACTACCTGGTGACTAAGCATTCAATTACATGAACCCATGGAGGCCTTTCTTATTCAAATTATCACAGGGATGAGTTTTTCCAAGGTGGTAACCCAAGTCTGACCTTGAGCATCCATCACTGAAGCCGACAAGGGTGTGTTCAGCCTCATATAACATTTGCCTCTCTGTTTTGCAGGTTTTTAAATCAACCTTCCTTAGCATGGTCCTCTCAGCCCCATACTGGTAGCGACCACGCCTACAGGAGCAGAGGAAGGCAGGAGAACAGTAGCTTGCTGGGTCCCAGGGACCGGGAAGAGGTGGAGATCAGAGGAATGGCTCAGGCCCACAGTCTGCCCATCCATATGAGAGAGAGTCCGTGGGAAGTTGCAGGAAGGACAGAGCATGTGATAAAGAAGGCTGTTTGGGAAGAAGAGATGAGGGTGCCGGCTCCTGCTAAGTGGCAGAATGTGAGCTTGGAAAGCTGGAAGCAGCCGAGGAAGTTAGGGAGGCAAGTGTCCGATGGTGATAAAGAGAAAATGTTCCGGGATCTGTACCAGTTCGTTCAAGGAGAGCACATGCTGACATCTCAGAACAAAAAGAAATCCCAGTCATTGCCTCGAGTTCTTTCTCCTGAGAGCCTGAGTTTCACCGAAATTTCTGTTCCACGACGTGATGGGCACTTGACAGGTGTCCCCAAAGTGCCACCATACCCTCCCAGCTTCCCACCACCTTTGGAACCCACAAGGAAACTTGAGAAGGCGAGTTCTTCAGGCCCTTTTCCCCGGCCTAAGTTTGGGAAACCCCTTAAAACCCCATGTTATGGCTCTCACCCACAGCCCAGGGGAGAAGATGGATTTCAAGGCCACCAACACAAGGACCCACGTGGCTCCTACCCAACAAGAAGTAAGGAGTCCAGGCATGAGCTAGGTGTGCTGGACACTGGCTTGGAGCCTCCGGTGTATGTACCTCCACCATCATACAGGTCACCCCCGCAGCATATTCCGAACCCCTACCTTGAAGATCCAGTGCCCAGGCTTATGAGCAGCAGCCAGAGTCAACAACAGCAACTCCCTGAAAAAGCTGAGTCCAGCTGTCCAGTCCCTTCTGGCTCTCTTGCAGCTAGGAACCTCTATGATGCAGTGCCTGGCTCTCCTCCTCCAGGTCTCCCTCCACACCCCTATCCTGTTGCCACCCACGGGGGTTCTATTCAGTACATTCCATTTGATGATCCACGGATTCGACATATCAAACTAGCTCAGCCCCCAGAATTCTATGAGGAGGCAAAGCTTGATAACAGAGCCTATAATGCTGGTATCACTTCCCAAGATTCAGCTCTTGGGAAAAGACAGTACAATGGTGCCCTTTTATCACCACAGGGCCCAGCACCCCCATCAGGCAATGAGCAGGGCTCAGCCTTTGCCCATTCCAGTCCCCGGTGGCTGCGGCGCCATATCCCCATGGACATCGAACATGGAGGCTTCTCTGGCCAGATAGAACAGCATGCCGTGGTGAGAGGACTAGGGACTGATGGGAGAGACAGCCAAACAGAAAGCCATGCCTCTTCCCCACAGCCACAGAGTGAGGGTACCTGTAAAACCTACACTAAGCTCAAAAAGTTTGAAACCGGGATTCAGACCAAGAAAAGTTCAAAGAAGAAAACCAATGCGACCATATTTTGTTTGGTTTCTGTTCCAGTTAAATCTGAGCCACCTCTGCCAGATACGGACACGGATGACAATGACTTGAAGCTGGAGGCTGACAAGACCACACTCGGGCTGTGTCAGGGGACAGCCCTGGAAGAGCAAAGTCTGTTGAGTATGTCGTCCACCGACCTGGAGCTCCAAGCCCTCATGGGAAGCATGGCTTGGAGAAGAACACCCCCAAGACAAGGTCTGGAGGAGCCAGAAGATGGCCAGACTGGCCACCTCAGAATGCCACACCTTACCAAACCCAGGGAGCTCCAGCCTTCTGGCTCATGGCCAGGCCACCAGTACAGAGATCAGCAGACCCAAACCAGTTTCCCTGAAGACTCCAAAAACTCACATCTCCCCCTTGCCACACAGCCAGAAGAGCCCAGTAATGCAATGCTCACCCCAACATGCCCAGAGCTCACTGACTCTGAAGTACACCCGCATGCAGCCTTAGCGTGTGGTGACCAAAGTCAGAAGCCCAGTGTACCTCACCTCAGAGGACAAATGTCCCTCAGCCCGTCTCAAAACAGTGCTTTTTCGAGGACTTCCTCAGCCATAAACCAGGCACCTGTGCCAAAAGGGGTTCCTGGTCAGCCCCCTAGGGCCAGCCCTGTACTCAAGCCAGAGGTGGTGAAGGGGGCGTCTATAGCAGGCCAGTGCAACAGCACACAACTCTTTGGTCAGTTTCTCTTGAAACCAGTTAGCCGCCGGCCCTGGGATCTGATAAGTCAGTTAGAAAGTTTTAACAAGGAGCTGCAGGAAGAGGAAGAGAGCCACGGTGCTAGTGGTGGGGACAGTAATGAGTGCAGTGAGACAGAACAGCCAAGGGACTGTGCTGATTCCAGAGCCAAGAACAGGGGCTGCCATGAAACCAACCAGAAATGGGGAGCAGAGCAGCAGTCTGCAGGGCTGGTACCGGAGGAGTCAGGGTTCCAGCAAGGAAGACTTAAGAATGAGTCGGAGAATCAGAGTGAGGAACCAAAACCTGGCCACCCATGTTCCTTTCCACTGTCCCTGGGCCAACAGGAGGAAGACTGCAGAGGCGCTCTTGCCCAGCAGACAAATGGAAGCCTGGCTGCAGAGCAGCGAAGCTGGGAGGTTCCGAATGGCATGTGTGAGCGCCATATCAGCGAAAGTCCTCTGAGCACGATGGCTGCGAGTGACACAAACACAGCCCCATTTTTCTACCTGGCAGAACTGAGAGGAAGTCAAGAAGTCACCGAAGTCAACCATGCTTTAGGCTCTGTACAGCTGGGCAGAGAGAGTCCTCCAAAGGTGGATAGTGGTGAGGAAAGAGACACAAAGGGCCTACTGCCTTTTGCTGACAAATACCAAGGCCTCTCAACACCAGACTTGCGGTCTTTGGGGCTCACACTGGGACAAGAGCAGAGTGCCTATAAATCGGAGTCCCTGGGTATAGAGAATACAGTGGAAGCCCTCCCAAGTGAGTCTCTGCAGGAGAGGGCAGAGAGGATCCTGGGCATTGAGGTGGCTGTGGAGTCTCTCCTGCCAGGTGCCAAGAGAGGGGGGCAGAGCCAGCTCCCCGAGCCTGATGCAAGTGCCTGCAGCCCAGCGTCATCCAGAGAGGACTCATGGCCCAGCTCAGCACCATCAGGGGGCCTCACAGTGGCCACTGATGCCTTCTATGGCAGGAGAAAGTGTGGCTGGACTGAGAGTCCTCTCTTTGTAGGGGAAAGGGCCCCCCAGGCGTCTGTGTGCTCGGATATGGATGGGTTCCCTGCAAGCCAGGCCACCAGTCCTGAGCCTGACACAAAGCACCAGGAGGCAAAACCCCCCTTCAAGTCCACTCTGTTCCATCTCATGGAAAAGACTGCAGGTGATGCTGGCTCTGAAAAAAGGCTCAGAAGTCCTTCCAAAGTGATTGAGAGTTTACAAGAAAAGCTGGTATCGCCCCCAAGAAGGGCTGACTCAGATCGCCTGGTAAGAATGAGGGAGATCAACTCCTTGACTCGGATGAGGTGTCTGAGCTCCAAGAGTGCAGACTCCATGGAGGAGCCCGACCACCCAAGGGCCACCAAGAGTCAGGCCTGGCAAGCGGGACATCTGTCCTCTGTTTCTCAGGATGCTGTCCCTCAAGAAGAAAATGGGCATATGGAAGTGCCAAGGAGGAAGCTGTCTGACCAGGACTTGTGGTATGCAGGTGAGGAAGTTGGGCTGGAGGGCAGGTGTGTGGTGTTTGTGTGGAGCCATGTGACCATCAGAAGCATGACTAATTGCTGAGTATCCTAAGCTCAACGCAGGCCATGGTTCCATAGAAAGATCCTTCATGTAGGTGTGGTGGCACACACTTGCATCCCAGCACTTAAGCTGATGTGGGAAGAATGTGATGGCCAGTCAGGTGGTGGTGGCACACGCCTTTACTCCTGACATTCAGGATACAAAGGCAGGCGGATCTTTGTGAGTTTGAGACCAGCCTGAGTTCCAGTACAGACTCCAAAGCTACACAGAGAAACCCTCCCTGTCTTAGGAAGGAAGGGAAGACGGAAGGAAGGAAGGAAGGAAGGAAGGAAGGAAGGAAGGAAGGAAGGAGAGACGGAGGGAGGAAGAAAGAAAAGAAGGAAGGAAATAGTCTGGTAAGGTGGCCAGCAGGCCAGGGCACATGCCATGTTGCTGTGCCAGTGTGGTGACTGAGCTCCAGGGTTCCATTTGAAACCCTGGTAAAAGTAATAGGCAAGAACCCAGTTCACAGAGTCGTGGACCACCACATGTGTGCAAGAATAATGAATAGATTAAAAAACAAACTCATTTTAAAAATTACCCAGAAGCTTTCTTAATTAAGAATTGAGATATTGTCCTGTATTTTGAATAATTATATTATTGTTTTAGTTGTCTTAAGAAAACAGCCACATAAAATTATCCTAGTAAACACCTCTGAGTGTGCTGCCAAGGTGGGACATTACACAGAGCACTCCAGCCTGGCTGTGGCAGCTCAGGGGCGCATGCTGGATACAGAGTATTTATACTCCTGATTTCTGCCAAAATAATAGATATGCATCCAAATGACCCTGTTGGTTGCTCTTTGTCAACTGGCTATTTTCAATTTTTGTTTTGTCATGTTTTGGGATGAGGTCTGTTTTTGTAGACCAGGCTGACCTCAGACTCACAGAGAACCATCTGCCTACAGAGGCCAGAAGAGGGCATCAGATCCCCTGAAACTGAAGTGACAGACAGTTGTATAGACATAAAATACACATCCAGGTTCTAAAGTCTCAATACAGAAGAACCTGAAGCACCTTAATAATTTTACATTGAAATGTTACATGTTGAATGTTAATATTCTGAAATGAATAAAAGATTATATTTTGGAGATATTTGGTGAAGTAAAGTATATTATTAAAGATAATTTCACCTCTCCCTCGTTAGGAGTGTGGCCTATTCTCCTCTATTAGTAACCCCGACAGTGTTCTCAGCTCATGAGAAGACATCCTTGCTCATAAGAGCTCCCAGAATCAGCATACCTTGAATCCCAGATATAGCACTGAGCTCTCACTGTCTTCTTGTGTGGTCGCATGGTGTTGCTAAGGGCAGCGTCAAGAAGTGTTAAGTCCTGGGAACTCTACTTCCTTTAGCCAGGTGGCCCTGGAGCCACCTGGGGTAGTCTGTGATGTGAGCAGGCTCCAGCAGCTCCCCTGAGTGCCAGCCCTGTCCCTCTAGTCTATGGCACCTGCAGAGTGCTCCCAGTACAATCTTGGTTTTTGCTATCACCGTGCTTAGCATGCAAGCATGTGCCAGTCATGAAGAAGTACACTGTGTAGCTGTAGGCTGCAGAGAGTGGGATGGAGGCCCTTCATAGGACATCTTTTTCCACATGCATGCGTTTCAGACCATTATTTTCTAATTGTTTTTCTATAAAATTGTGCCATCGTGCAGGCTTTTATAAAGTCGTCTTCTAGGATATGTATAGTAAGCCCTGCTGTTACTTTGTCTCTAGCCTCATTGAGGTATTGACATTAAGTGTGTGCATCTTTAAGATGCACATTATGTGTGAGTGATCATACATTGTGCGCTGAGTGAGACAGTTAAGCTAATTAACATACCCATCATCTAACAGCCTCTTGATGGAGTTCAAGAGCACATGCACTTTATTAACCACATCCACCCTGATGTGCTACCCTCATGACAGTCACTCATCTTGCAGCTGCAGTTTTACCCTTTCCCAGTATCTGCTCTCTTTCCCAACCCTCAGCTTTAGAAGCCACCACCATATTCTCTGTTAATACAGGTGTCACTTAAAAATAAATTCTGCATTTAAGTGACATCATGCAGTGTTGTCCTTTCTAAGCTTAGCACAATGTCTCCAAGGTTTTTCATGTGTCATTTAAAGTGACAGGATTCCCGCCCCCTTTTTTGAGATTGAATAATGTTCCACTATGTGTATATTTATGTATAGACATTTTCTTGTTCATCTGTTGGCATGTACATAGGTTGTTCCTATGTCTTGGCATAAATGGTATAGTGTGCATGGGTGTGCAGTCATACTGATTTCCTTTCCAGTAGTGAGATTGCTGGATTGTGTAGTAGTTCTATTTTTGTTTATATTGTTTGAGGAATCTCTATGTTTCAATGGCTATCATGTACTCTTACAGATTTGTTGACCATAAAAATTTAGGAATGCTAAGGCAGGGAGCTCTGACTGCAGGAGGCACACATGTGAGCCTCCAGTGTGCCAGGCTTCTGGAGCTGGGAGGATGAGAGCCTCCTCTCAGCAGCACACATTCCCCATTCTGGTGGCAGCTGGGTTGCTGTCCCTAAGTATGGTGCTCCATTTGGGAAATCCAGGCCATCAGGGCTCCACATGAGATTGTTTTCAGCGTAGGCTGTAGAAGGTCATTGTGGTACAAGAAGGTTCTAGAAGGTGTGCTGACAGGCAGGTCACCAGTCTTGGTCCTGCCTGCTGGCTGGTAGCAAGTGGAAACTGGAAACCTCTTCCTTCTGGCTATGCATTTGACATTTTAGGTCCCCCAAGCCTTGAAGAGAAGAATTAGTTCATAAAGATGCTTTCAAATCCTCTCAAGGAAGGATAGGAACTCGAGGTCCTGAGTTCACATCTCAACAACCCAAAAGCCAGTTGTAGAAGCATACCTGTGATCTCAGTGCTGTGATAGCCAAGACAGGATTTCTTGGAGATGATTGGCCAGCTAGATCAGTCAAATCAGTGAGCTTCAAGTTCAGGAAGAGACATTACCTCAAAAAATAAGGTGGTCACACAGGGAAAGAAAAAAATCAAGAACAAAGTGGAAAGCAATTGAGGAAGACATTGAATATCAACCTCTAGCCTCTGTAACACACTTGTATACACACACACACACCCCAAAAAGAATCAGCATTAGGCCAGGGTGTTGCTGTTGGCTAAGGTCAGTGAGTTTATTATTTGTATTGTACTCTGAGCACCAGGAAGGACCACTGGATCAGCTTTGCTCATCTGCGTTTATTTGGTAATGATCGTGTACATTCCTTGAAAATAATATTTCAGCCATAGTTTCTTACCCCCTAGTGAAGTAAGTTTGCTGAAGTGTCTAAAAATCAATTTTCTCTGCATGTGTTTTGTTCTCTAATTTATTTCCATTGTGTGAGGATTAAACCTAAAGCGTGGCAGGTGAATGTCCCACTGACCCTCCATTCTTCTTGTTTGCAGAGTCATATGATCCCAGCCGAGTGGAGAGGGTGTGACTGATGCTGGTGAAGCCCACGGGTGTTCTCTGGTGAACTCAACTGCCTTGTCCAGGCTGGAGCTGGAAACGGCTGGGTTTTCAGTGTCCAGACTCCTCCTAGCCTGTCCATGGGAAGTCAGCCATCCCTGCAGAATTGTTGTGGAGCTAAAGCAGGGGTGTTGCTGGCACCGTCTGTCTTTAGAGCATGGACATATAATTCCCATATTTAGAAATGAGTTTCCATATCAGTTCCCCTTTCTGGTGGATTAGGCAGAGCTGGTAAATAGCTTGGTGTTAATCTGTGAAAAATCAAATACGGAAGACACAGTGGGTGATTTCGATTGGACCATAACATCACCCATTCCCTGCCATATCTCCCCAGCTCATGCTTAGAGTGTGGCCAGGCCTCTGCTTGGTATTTGCAGTTATGGGGAATATGAGTGAGGATGTGTGACCCATTTTTATTACTCAACCTTCGGCAGTGTAACTTGTAAGTAACTGCTACCAGACTTACAGCAGCTTCTTTGTGTTCCCGAAGGGTCACACTCACGCTGTAACTTACCTGAGAAGCAAACATGCTGCTCTCTGCTTTGCACTCAGTCTTCCCTAGGTTTTACTTTCTGTGTGAATGTTTAGATATTCTTTATATGAAAAATAATTGCTGGTTTAAAACAGACCATGGTAACAAAGTAACTATATTTCTTTTTATAAAATTGCTATTTTTCTATGATGTATAAACAGTTCTTAGGTGGCAGATTTTTAAGGAAGTGCTATTTTATTTAAAAGTCTATCCCTGTGTGTGTGAGGGACCCAAGAGGGCCCACCTCGGCTCCAAAGCTGTTAGCCCTGCTCCAACTTCAGCTCTGCTCCTTTTAACTCTGTGTCAGGGAGTGCCAGTGAAAACCAATTACAGGTTCATTAACTCTCACAAAGATGTTTTTCCACAGATGGAGCTCTGAGGTTCCATTTCAAGTCACCCCCACCCCCTCAAAATTGGCCAACAATTTCATGGTCATTTTGCAGCCATCTCAACTAGAATTGCCAAAAAACAAACAAACAAACAAACAAAAAAAAAAAAAACCCATAGTTTCATCTTGTATCTCTGTGGAGAATCTGCCCCAAGAAGAATTTTTCCTCTTGCCCACCCTTTAAAGAAAGATATATTTTTGTCTAGAATGATCCCGATGATTAATCTTGCACATCGTAAGCAGCGTTTGGGAACAGTGCGCAGGTGGCGTTCTGTGTGTGTTTGCTGCGATGGAAGTCTCAGGAGGCCTGTGGTGCTACCCCTGCGTTTGCCTGCATAGTTTATGCATTTTTGGCATTTAACCCCTCTGTCTGAGGAAGGTATCCTTGCTACCTAACATTTTCCAATATGTTTGTCCCCTTTTCCCCCCTCCTTCTTTTTTGTTTCCTTCACTCTCTATTAATTTTTTGAGACATTTAGTTAATCTGTTTTGAGACCTGTCAAATTCCTTCAGTGTGAGTCATGGCTGGTCTGCCCTCTGGCCCTAAGAAGACTTTTATGGCCTCTTATCTATACATCTACACAATCTTATTTTATTTTCTAAGAACCTCACATGTTCTGACTGGACCGCACAGAACAGAATCCAAGCACACACCTTTCCAGACGTCCACGCCTGCAGCTTGGTTTGCACCTGTTCCTCATGCTCGTCTTCCGCCAGAGCTTGGCTCTCATAGAGAGAGGTGTGGGATGTAGGCACACCCCTGGGGCAGCGGGCAAGCAGGCTGGTGATCTGCAGTGGTGTCTGGATTACCTGCTAGGGACAAGTGAAGACTTCGCCACATGCTGGGCTCGGTGGGGCTGCATGTCCCTCCTTAATGTCAAAGCAGCCCTGTGCACATGTCCACAAGCACAGACCCAGTGCATGTCTGTGTGCATGCTGGTGCTCTGCTGACTTCCTGTCACGTGACCTGACACCATCCAAAGACTGTTTAAGAGAAAGAGAAGGATCCTGAAGGAAAGCTGTTGTGCCTTATGTATCTCAGTCTGGAATGGGATGCTCTTCCCTTTTGTCGTGTTTGAAATCATACCATGCTTCCCTGCAGCCATTCAGTCAAACTAGCAAATATTTATACTTTAACCTTAATTTTTCCAGATTCAAGCTTATATGCAAATCTTTTGGAAGGAAGTGGTAACATTGAATTTAGTAACTTGAAAACTTGACCTTTAACTTTTCATACCCAAGATAATGTATATCTGACCAAAAATTGTCTTGCTGGGGTCTTGAGTTCAATACTAACCATCATTCCCTATGTAAATTTTACATGTTTCCATGACTGTTGGTAGAAAAAGTTTTCCATATTTTGTGTTTGTCAATTGTTTTTCTCATTATACATGTTGGTATTTAGTAATTTGGAGCTTGTAAAATTTTGACCATTTGAACTAAAAATTATAGGAGGAATTGTGCCTGTGTTGTTTCTGAAATTGCAGAAAGGAGGGGAAAGTGGTAGTTTGGGGCCTCTTTAGGGAAATTTTTCTGAAGGATTGAAAATGGGGTATCTTTTACCATATTCAATTGTATTTCTATAAACCCTAGAAATCCCCTAAAGATGCAGCCAGTCCCTGGATGAAACCATACAATTATTTCCATAATTATAAACATTTATTTCCTTTATTAATAAAGACCCTGAATCATCTTTGGTATTGTGGCTCCCTTACTGTGACAGTAGATGTGGATTCTGATGAGTTGAAAGTTGCAGGAAGATTGCCGGCCGTAAAGACATATGTCATCCTGTGGCACCCAAAGAGTTTGTCTGCCCAATTTGACATTTTATTGCTTGTTTGAAATGCTTAGCTAATAAATACACCATTGTTGGCCCAACCCCTCCTCCAAAGTGATCAGGGCAGTAGAAGTCTTGTGAGCAGTTGTTAGTGTTGGGGAGCATCATCTGTGGTGGGATTGGCTGTGCTAGGGCAGCTGCAGTCGGGGCGGGGTGGGAGTAATACTTAAGCTCTTGCAGCCAGAGGTTCGTTTCCTTTCTGCTTTGATTTTGACTGCACATTTTGTACATCTGTGAGTGGGAGGAGAATTGCCACTCAGGACAGGATCTAAGAGACACATTCCAAATGGCCCTTGAAGAGACTGAATGGTGGGAGGTCCTTGTCCCAGAACGTGGGTTGGTTCACTTTGTGACCCTCAATTGGAAGAAGGGTAAAATGATTAAATACAACCATAGAAAGACTGGTCCACAGCCTGTATGTTTTGTTAACAAGAAGAATGGTGAGGCCAAGTCTATAAATTCAGACCACAGCCCCTTGAAAAGTTTCCTGTGGTCTGACCGCCTGCTCAGCAGAACAGTCCAAGCTTCAGCAGCATTGTGGGAGGCAGACTAGACTCCTGCCTGTTGGTGGCCTTGACTTTGAGAGCCTCTGTCTCAACTGGAATTATTAATGTAACAAAGGCCAGGGAGGGGCTTGGGAGGCTGTAGACAGCCCAGTCTACAATCTGTGTGCAAGCCTTCTCATAAGACAACAGTCCTGCTGGTACAGCCCCTCCCACATCTGCCTCCCTGAAGTCACACCTCACAGCAGAGCCCAGGTGTGTGACACTGAGAAAGAGAGAGACCCAGGCAAGTTCAGGGTGAGAAGCAGAACTCAGCAATGAAAACCACATGGCAAGAGTCAGGGAAAACTGTGACCCCTGTCCAGACGATAAAAATCAGCTAAGTCCTTATCATCTGGGTCAGCTGCCATCCAGTCCCCAATGAGGCCTGTCAGGCAAGCTGAGCATGCCCAAAATCATACACTGTGGTAAGGATAAGGTGCAGGGACCTAGAAGAACCTACGTCTGTTTCTTTTGCCCAGCTTCCTTAGCACTTAGGGCAAGTGGAAAGGGTTCTGGAGACTGCCCTGTGGTCACCTCCAGGTGGGGTAGTCTAGGAGAATCTTGGATAATGGGAGGTAAAGGCAGGTGGGGAATAGTCACATGGAGCCCTGTGGTCACCTCCAGGTAGGGCAGTCCAGGAGAATCTTGGCAGGCGGGAAATAAGGCAAAGCACAGCACAGCAGCAGGTGGAATGGCAGGATGGAGGCCTCCAAAGAGTGTGCACTGTCTCAGGATGGCTGACCTGCTCTGAACCTATGCTCCAGATAACTTTTTCACAAAACTATCAGTGTTTACCATCTAACTGAGGTACAGAAGCTGCCTAGATGCCAAGTGCAGTGGCTCAAAGTATGGGTACTGCAGGACAGATGACATAGCAAGCACCCCCCCACCAGAATTTATTGGGGTTGAAAGTCCTTAGTGTGGTTTCACCCACAGAGACTCACTGATGCAGTGACCTATGGTCCATTCCAAGGGCAGGGTCCCAATTTCTATTTACTCAGGGACCACCCATCAGTTCTTGACTTTCTTATCTACCTCTCTTGCTAGGATAGATGTATCTGGCATGCAGAAATGGCCCTGGCATGAATGGGTACCCAAAGCATAGAGAATGTAGCCAAGCTTGATGTTACGGAGCAAGTTCTGTTAGGGCACTTTGCAGGCTTTAAGTTGGAGCCCTTGTGTGTCAGGGATTCTGCCTGTCCAGCATGACTGTTCTGTAAGCAGATAGAGACTTCATGTCCCATCATGTTCTTGGCTTGCTGTTGCTTCTAGTTAGACTAATAAACCAACCTGTTGTTCCTGGGTTTTAAAAAATGGGGGCCAGCAAGATGACTGGGTAAAGGTGCTTGGCAATAAGCCTGTGACCAACATGGCCGGAAAAGAGAACCGATTCCTGTGTGTTGTCCTCTGATCTCATGTGTGTGCTATGGGACACACACACAACACAAAAATCAATATAATGGGCCAGGGAGATAAGTTCACATAAAGGTTCTTGCCTCCAAGCTTGGTGACCTGAGTTCAGTTCCTGAGGCCCTCATGGTGAAAAGAGAGAAGTGACTCCTACAAGTTGTCCTCTGCCCCCCTCCACACACAATTCTAAAAAGAAATGCATCCTTCCTTCCAGCTGGAACTTCTGTCTTTCCCATTGGCTTTTTCAGGCTGGTTTCTTCTCTGCCTAGATGCCATGTATGTGTGGCTCAGGCTTGCTTGCTCGGGGCCTTGGAGGCCCTCCAAAATTTCAGTTCACATTAAGTTTCAAAGTAAGGACTTGCCCTCACTTGATTGATAATTTAATTCACAGATTAGGATACAAATGAAAAGTCCCCTCACCAAAGCAACACTGTAAAATGAAATACAACTCCTAGGACTGATGGCCCCGCCCTAGGCCTGTCTCTGCTATTAACCAGCCTTGAACTTGGCCACCCACTCTGGAATGGGAGAAAGGGATTGAACTTTCTATGGTGCTTTCCAGCTCTGAGATTGGGTGACTAGTTTTTGGCAAATCTGGAATTCATAGGAACCCTGGCCCTGCCAGAGGGGTAGAAAATAAGACAGTTGGAAAGTGTGGCTCTGTGGGTTTGACCTCCTAAGGACTGGAGCCCTGCTGTTGCTATCTCAGCCAGGGTGGTCTTTTCCCATTTCTCTTACCTCACTGTAATTCTGCATCCACTCAGGGCTGGTGATACTGGATTCTGGTGCTGGACATGGGGGTTTGCAGGTGTGGCTGCAGCCCACAGTGCAGTAGTCAGCTGTCCCTGTCCATGGTCTTTCCTGGAGCGTGGGATGTGAAGTCCTCACGTGCTCTCAGGGGCAGATTGCTCCCATCAGGCTTGCTTAGACCCCACATGTGGCCTCTTTTCTGGGTGTTCAGCCAATAGTCTGCAGGCTATAAACATTGTCATTGGCGGGGATCTGGAGACAGCATTCCATGGGGATCAGTGTTGGTCCCCCCCTCCCCGTTTGATTTTGGTGGGAGAACCCAGCTGTCACTGGAGTTTAAAGAGAGTCCAGGCACTCTGCATTTGCTGTTCCTTTTCTTCCCTGCCTCTGTCCTGAGCTTAGGATAGTAGGGTCAGTTTGTGTGCCTTTATTTACCTAGTATTTGTTTGGGGTCCTTCAAACACACAACATGAAAACAAGGGAACCATATCAATTCCTTGCTGTGTGTCACACATACCATATGTGTTGACTAGTCTAATGGGACACCAAGTGGCCTCAGAGAGGGTGAGTAACTGCTAGTGGCACCTTGCTTGCAGCAATACAAGGCTCCAAGTCTGTTCTTATAACCAAGTGCGTGCTGCTCATCTTAGCCTCCTGCACCCTAAGATAATCAGAGAACTGGTATTTAATTAGGAAACACAAAAGCAGACTTCGTAAAAATACTGCATATTTGTGAAGATCTGGTGCAGTTATCCATGCCAGCATCGCACTTAACAGCGGCTTAAACAAGATGGGAGCTTATTTCTATCACCATTTGAAAGAACCTAGAAGTAGGCAGTCCGGGACTGGCATGTTGGTTCAAAGATGATTCCGCTCCAGAATCCTTATACAGTAGCTTCCATCCTAAAGGAACCTCATGGACCAAGACACCTATTGGAGTGCCAGCTATCACCAATACCTCCTAGATGGCTTTTGAGAAATATCCCCCCCAATGAATTAATTCCCTTTGAAGGGTTTTCCAGGAAGTCCTATATTTTAAACCCATTTTCCATTTCTAAGAAGTTAAATGGTCAAACTAGCTTCACAGAAGTCCAGAGACAATTATCTGTGTAACTGGGCACCACTGGGGATAGTCAATGTTCTATTACCAATGAAGACAGTGGCCATAGGAAGTGCCTGGCATACTTTCCCTTGGGCAGATAGATGCTGGTCAGCCAGTAGGGCAGACGATCATGTGTGTGCCAGATTCTGGGGAAAGTTGTTGAGACAGAACTCTCCCACCCAGGCATGCTGGAGATCCATGTCATCAAAACGGAACATGCTCGGAGACCAGGGCACTTTAAGTAATGTTTCACTGGAGCCAAGGATGAACCATGGGTGAGGGGACCAGCCCTGACCACCTGCCACTGCCATCCACAGGGACTGTGGGACACATACAGAGACACAGACCACTGGACACATGAGGAACCAGGGCTGGAGAAAACCAGCAGAGCTCACACAGCCCTATAGACTGATTTTGATTTGGACCTCCAGCTCACAAATAAGGACACAGAGAATTATTATTATTAAAGCTTGTCCTTAGCTTAGGCTTGTTCCTAACTAGTTCTTACATTACCTAATCTTTTAATTTACATTCTTCTACATGTCTTGGTTACCCTTACACTGTACTGCCCATCCTGATTCCTTCATATCTAGCTGGTGACTCTCTCTGCTGGAAGTCCTGCTTTTTTTCTCCTGCCTGCCTATTGGCCATTCAGCTTTTTATTACATCAAGTACAGCAATGCATCTTCACAGCATACAAATACTCGACAACACAGCCCCTTTACCCATCGACTTCCTGAAGGCCCAGACCCCTTGCCCTTGGAACACTGCTGAGTCAGCAGGAGGTTGCAGGAGTCCTTGCTCCTACAATAGTGACATGATTCTTTCAGTGTGGGGTGATGCTTTTAGTCTTTTAGATCACTGAAGTCTATGTAAATCTTTGGTAGCAGATTATCTTCAGGGTTTTTAAGAGATTAGAAGTTCAAGACAAAAAACAAACAAACAAACAAACAAACAAAAACTCACTATTTATGCCAGGCTGGCCTTGAACTTGTGATCTGCCCACCTCAGCTCCTGAGCTGGGATTACAGGAGTTCATCACCAAGCCC